AGAATAGAGTATCTAACCATTTCTTAATAGAAAGGTAGCATATTCTTCTCACTTGTTTTAAGACCTTGAGTGTTGGTCCGGCCGGGGCTCGAACTCTCGATCTCCCGCACAACACTCCAGCGCTCTATCCAGTGACCTCACTTTTCCTTTCCTCGATCGTTTCTTCGTCTAATTCCCCTGATATGCTCTTATTTCCCCTCGCCGTGAGGAAATATCTCACAGAAAAAAAATAACTGCTATGAAGAGAACTGCAATGCTGGGACTTGATGTTGTCTTACAGTTTTAAATAGAAACGGTCATCGGATAACACTGTAAAATCGCTGTAACATTGACTCTAGGTGATTAAAAGTGCCTCTTTCCCAGCTTAGACCCTCGCACAAATCAAACACAATCTGCGGAAAATATTCTAGCGCCACTTTAATCTCTTTGAAGCAAATGCTGCTATTCACATTGTAGTTCTTATCATGTCTCCCCGTTTTATTTCTCTGGGAATTTACCTGTTACGATACTTAAAACACTTATTGGTACTGAATAAATATAAATCTTATATTTATATTTTGTGGGAAGACTTTCTGCATTAATTAGCCTCACTGTGAACGACTGCGTTGAACACACGTTAAATAAGAATTGATTCGTGACGAACGTCACACTATTCTTTGAATATTTGCAACAAAAGATTTTACTGTTCTTTAGTAAACTTCAAGTTTATTCAAAATGGCTTTGTACTGTAATCAAATACTTTTTAACTGAATTACTTCACTGAAACTAGTTAAACGGTGTGTTCGCCATAGAAAAAGGTTAAATTGTGTCCATCTAGATCACGCCTTCCAGAAAACGATACATGCGGTGGGTGGTGCGTTGTCAAATGCAATCACCACCTTAAAGCTAGGAGCACGAATTCGATGGAGGACTCTATCACTCATTACCATATCATCTACATAACTAAACCCTTTCCTTTCATAGGGAGGAGGTATGTAACTTGTTCAAAGTTTTAACTGTTCGCCGTAAAAGCCATCACCCCATTCAGACCCTTATAACTGAGATTCGTGTTCCTGTCAATCGTGATTGTTATGCCAGAGAAAGTTTCTTGTACTAATCATGATCTTTTATGATAGACTGAGGTCATTTGATGAATCATGAGACACTTTTGACTGCCCGAGTTCCTGTGGTAATAAGGAGAGAATGCTTTGGAAAAACAGCATACATATGTATAAGGAATGCAGTAGGTAAGTGAAAACTCGTATCACATATCAACCGTGTGCATGATGATTTCCCTCGGTGATTTAAAAAATACTAAGGCCCGGTTCAGACGCCGTACTTCAGCCGAGCCGAATCGAATTCAACGTATTAAGTTCATGTGAAGCACGGCGTCTGAATCAATTGGGAACGGCTAATTTAATTTAGATCGGCTCGGTCAATTAATCCCGCCTGACTCAGCCGGGAAGAACGGCTGTAGACCGGCCTTGATTCAGACGCCGTACTCCACATGAGCCGAATCAAATGCATAAATTATTGAAATTAGTATAATGTATTGGTGGTTTTTACATATGAGCACGCGTAAAGGAGTGTTGCAGAGGAAAAATGGCGGCTTGGCGGGCTGAGTGAAATGATGCTGACAGATATTGAATGGGCGCCCTATTCTACGTCTTTCGAACTGACTGATTCTTCGCTCTGTTGGTTCTTTGGTCATGATGTCGTTGTCCTCTGCATCAGCAACGTCCTTTCCCGCCTCTTTTGTGTATCGTATAACGAAAAAAGCGACAGCATGGTAATCTTTGTTTTCTCCAAAAATTGAACATTTATTGCATATGGGAATTTCACATTTCAAGGAAATATGTTTGGTCGCGCCGAAACACTTACTTATCAACTGCCGCACTTTATTTAGGTACTTCTTTAGAGAAGTGACCAAATAAAATACTTAAAACTTCCTTACAACGACCATGCCATTCAAATAACTCTCGTCAGTTTTTTATAACACTGCGCCGGCCCCGGCCACAAATTTACTTCAGTTAATTAATTTTGGCCGAAATAAGTTCGGCGTCTGAATCAATTCAGCCAGGATTAACTAATTTAGGTCGGCCTAAAGTTGAATTCGATTCGGCACGGCTGAAGTACGGCGTCTGAACTGGGCATAATGCTCCCAGATTTTGTCTTCTCCACTGGTGTTTTATTACAGAAAAATTATTGTCAATCTTATATTCCTGGAGAGAAAATCCAGTTCTGCTCCTGTGATTTGAAGCAATTATGCCTATTCTTATTAATGGATAAACTAGATGCTCAATTTTAAAGCGATAAATGGAGAATAAAATTATCCTTCTTAGGTTGTTTTTACACTCCTTTTAAGAACCTGATATTAGCTTTTTGAAAAAATAAACTAAAAAAAGATAAAGAACTTGGCTTGAAAGAGAAATGCGAATATCCTCTCACTCTCACCAAGTCCCCCGTAATCCTTTCAATTCCTTTCTTTTTACTCCTGACCTACAAAACGTGTGCTCAAATCAAACTAGCATCTCTGGAAGATGATATAAAAAATGGTCAAGGCTTGGCTTCGTGAGTAAAAATTCTCTCCCGACTTAAATTTCATTTCAATTCAAATAAAAAAAAAAATCTGTGACTCGAAGTTCACCCAGTTATGACCAAGGCCAATCCTCGTTCACAAGACAGCCATTATCTTCGTAGTGCTGTAACAATCTTTTCCACGCAGGATCCAATTCCAGAAGATACTTGTTTCCTTAAGGGAACAAGATGAAGCTTAGTTATTCTAGTTATTCTAATTATGGTGCCGTATACTACAATCCTAAAGCTTTAAATGTAAACTCAACAAACATGACGAAGAAAATGTGATAAGGATTTAAACCAAACTTCAGATACTCAATTACAGAAGACCCTCGTGAGTGACCATGTCACGTTGATTTTTAATATGTATCTCATTTCTTTAGAGGATGAGATATGATTGCTGAAAAGACTGCGTGACAACAAAACCAACCAAATCTTAGATTGTGTACTCGATTTTCACCTGATCTAACGAGAGTAAAACTGCATATCTCACCTATAATGCAGAGTCCTCTACGTGCTCGAGTGAGCCCCACGTTCATCTGATGCTCATCAGTCAAGAAACCCAGATGTTCACGAAGCCAAGAAAGGGAAGGCTCGGGATCTATTTCGTCACGCTTCACCGATCGAACCAAAGATATAACGACGTAATCCCATTCAGTCCCTAAAAATTGAAAGAGGAAGTCAATAATCGAAATTCGAAACTTTACGAGAGCTGCATCTTCTTCCAACGCGCACTATTTTTTTTTTTCTATTTTCAGACCTCCTTTTTTCTGTTTATTTTTTTTTGGTATTCTTAAGAGAGTCTTCTGACAATAGCCTTTCTTTTCATTGCCTTACCTTGGCTTTTAGTGATTGTTGTAACTTTGATATCCTCATACGCTCCCTTTAAGAGTTCACTGATTTTGCTTCGCTGCTCTCTGTAAGGTGACAGAATAACCACATCTGACTTCTGCACGTGGGCCACGTAACGGTTAACAAGATGTTTTGCTATTTGAACCTGTTCGCGAGGAAAGAGAAAGAAGTGAGACATGGTGACTTATTAGCCACGCAAAGCTTCAGTCTAGCCAAAGGAACTCGGGTAGACAGTTTTTAATCGAACGATGAAGGGTTAAGGTTCCTTTGCGACTCTCCTTTGACGGTTACAATTTACTGTACATCACGTTAACATGCTAAGACAGCAATATATGTCTGAGATATACAGAGATTTTAGGAGGATTTAGTCTGGACCAGTGTTCGTCCTGGGAATAAACATACTCTCCAGATAGCGGAGTCTCCGGCAGAGGGGGTCGGGCGGTTCCACTGTGCTTCAGGAAAAGTTGCAGATTAGCCATATCATCGTCTTTGGAAAATCCTATTATCATATGATAATTTAACCGTAACCCATGAATAATGCCTCTTGTGTGATTAAAAATCTTAGAACAGGCTTGGAAAATATTCAAGTTACTTGAAAATCCAGCTAAGAGGACTTGAGCTGCCTTTGATCACCTCATGACCTTTTGTTTGAAAAAATTTTGATACAACTTCTTCCCTAAATTTTTTCTTACTTTCTCAAACTTAGTGAAAATTTACTTACCGCTTTATGAACTTCTTTCATATTTCTCTTAGACTCCTCGTTGCTCTCTGAGGTTGCTATGGCAGCAGACTCCTCTTGCCCTTCTACGTGACAGAACACAATTGGTAGTTTCCTTTGGCGGCGCACTTGCGCGGGCCAAAAGGAAACTGGACTAGGAGCACGTGACTTCACCACGTCAGCAGTACGTAGCTTTCCATTATAAAATTGTCTCGATGGAAATTCACGAATTCCAACGTGCTAGAAATGGGAATAGACTAGTTTAAAATATGTCTTTGTTAAGAAAAAAAGAGTTTAAGTTGCATTTTTTTCCTACAAAAGAAAATAAGCTGTTTATTCCTGATACTGTAATCTTGTTTACCACCAACACAATAAAATAAATCCTTGGACGGATAAGTCAGTTTTCGTGGACATCGATTCAGAAAACTATGCGTATTGCAACTACACCCTTAAAGTAGTACGTTGGATGCTAACAAAGGTAACCAAAACACCGCATCTTAGGTGGGTAAGATTTAAGATTGTCCTTAATCTATATGAATATGTGGCGTATGCAGTCTTCAGTAAATATCTTACCATTCTGTACTGAAGTTCTAGCATCATAGCTCGTTTAGAGTGCCTCTCAAACATTGACACACCCAAGCCAAGTGTCTTTGCAACATGGTCTTGTACTACAGGTTGCAGTTGTTTGTGATCACCGATCAGAACCACTTGTTTTGCTCTAGAGCACGTGATAGGCACGAGTGATTCAGGCTCCATGCACATGCCACATTCATCGACAATGCATTGCTGGATGTTGTCGCAAGAAGAGACTATCCTAGGACTTCCCGAAGCTACGCAAGTACATAAAATGATTTGAACTCGAGACTCTTGAAGCGCCCACTTTTCGGCCAGTCCAATGATCTTTGGGGCAAAATTTAAAAAGTCATCATTTATCTCAAATAGATAATTGTAGGGAGATTTATTAACATTCTTTTTGGATTATTGAAAAATAATATAACCTTTAGTTAGTTACCCTGATTGTCTCTCTAAGAGAGCCATACGGAACATATCACTATGTAAATCTCAATCACCTTTAATAGGTGACTTAGTTTATCAATTAAATTACGAGAGCTCAATCATTCCAATATTAGAGAATTCCCACCAATCAACAACCTTCCCATCTACTCCGTCTTCACTTCTCATATTGAAGCATTAGTCAAACATTCACAAATCTCTTACCTTGCAGTAGTTGGAGACTTCCTCTTGGCCTATCGTTTCCTTCATCGCTTTACAATGGGCAAATCCCTCTTCATATTTCCTTAGCTTCTCTGAATAAGGGCATTCAGGACCTCTGATCACGTGGTGAAGGGATACAGACTTTATTTGGTCACTGGAAACTTTTAGTTCGTCATCACTCCTCGTTTCTCGAGCTGGCTTCAACTTGTTTGGGATTGGGAACTCTTTCTGCTCAATCTGATCACTATAAACCCTGAGAACTTTCAAATCTGGTATTTTCAAAAGGAGCTCTGGTGGTTAAGATGAAACTTCATGTAAGCTGTTAGGATTTGCGCGGGATTTATTTTAAATTGACTTAAAATTGATATTTTACGAGCTAACTACCTATTACTCAAGTTTTGCGTCACCAAATTGAAAGTTAATGATACCGGTCACCTGTACTTTAAATAGCGCCACCATTGTCGGAATAAGTTATTGTTAAACGATTGAAGATTTCCCGATAGGCAACACTTTTGACCATATGACGTAATATGGTTACCACAATTATCACTACGTAAAAGCTCTCTGTTAGCAAGGGTCTTAATGGGGTCTTGCGCAAAAGAGCAGCAATTGTGAAAGACTGAGAAATGTCACGCGATCTAACAACGCATTTACAAAATTTCATTTCCAAAACAGCTAATATATATCTATTCCAATATTTACGCATGCAAATTACTTTACGCCTACCACAACAAACTTGAACATGAGGTCAGCCCTTTCATGTTAGTATATTCCAAGTCAATGTGATTAAATTATATGAAAATCAAATTCTAAAGCGAACAACATCAAGCTAGCTTAGAGCATTTTCTGTTAGATTGGCTTGTCTTTCGTGGAAAATTACTTCGGGACCTCATGGAGTGCCAGCGCAATTTGGTTTCTTGTGAGACGGAATTTCTGACTTTTCTTCCCACCACAGCCTACCTGTAACCACGTCCACAGACTTGTTAGATGGTCCACAATAAATAACTTGAGGTGGTGATTTGTGTACTCCATCGCATTCAGTTCCATCTGTCTGTTTTTTCAACAGCTTGTAAGACTTTTTCGTCTTGTTTTGTTCTGCGAACCAGTAGGCGATGTGTGCTCCTGTTACGGTTTTCCCAGTACCTGAGCAAAATTATTGTTTTGTTTGTTTGTTCGTCAGTAACATTCACTCGTAAGTGAGTTGTCACAAGGTTTCATTGCTGCCACTTGTACTGAAGTTCAGAAATGGGTATGCGAGGGCTTTTTTCAGTTGTAATAGAATAAGTGACGTGGTATCTTCCCGTACATTGTAACTTAAGTATAGTACATTGTACTAAACAGTGTTTATAAGTGAGATCATTCTAAAGCCTCTAATCGCTTTTGGACGTTGATCAAAAAACACAGACTCCTACCTGGTGGACCCTGTATAAGCGTGAATGGATGACAGAGTGCTTGTTTGACCGCGGCCTGTTGATATGTATTCAACCTCTTAAAACCAAACTGTGTCAAAAACAGGCTCGTGGGGAGTTCGCCATGATTTTCTAACCGTGACCGAAAAAAAAAAGCATTACGAAGGTTTAATATCACACGGACGCTATAATCCAGACGTTTCGCGGAGATTCCTATAATTAATACCTTTTGATGGCTCTTCTCCTCTGCAAATGGCATGAACAAGCTCAGATGAGTGTTCCAAACTGCCTAGCGCTGCATACATTCGCCTGGAGGGTTAAATAAAAGTTAAAAAAAAAACAAATACTCCAAGACGTAAAAAATAAGTAATAGATTTAACTAAGCAACCAGTGGAGATAACTTTTTTTTATCGTGATGAAGCGAGTTAATACCAAGACCTCATATGTTGTTAATTCAGTTTGTCAGTTTGTTACACTTCGTATCGGGTCAAGGTTTAACTGTTCAAGATCCGCATAACTGTTTAGATACCACTACTTTGCTTGCTCAGTCAACTCACAGCTATTTGAAAAGCTTTTAATTATAAGATTCGAATTACTTCAACGATAAGAGAAATTAAGCAGAGGGCTTAACCAAGTAACTTACGATAGTATAGTTATTCATGTACCTTTGAGGAAGTGTTCTGTGGATGAGTTCTAAAGTACATCTGTGGCTTTCTTCATTGGAAACTCCCTCTGGCATGGTTGATGCCGATTGATGAAGGTACATTTTAACTTTTACAATCCGTTTTTCTTTAATAAAGTTTACACTCCTAATAATACAATGTGCCACCCAAAAGTCATTTGCACTTGCACTGCCACTTGAATCAGAATGTAGACTCTCTTTGGAGGACTGTGGGAAAGGGAAAAACTGAAATAAGCATGCTACATAGCAATGCCATCAACGTACAAGAATAATGAGTTATAGTAAATACCTTTCCGTGGCTTTCACTTTCCCCTGAAGGAAGTGACGTTTCGCAGTAAGACATACGGATACATGCAAGATCTCCCCCATAGAAATGTAGCTGTCGACTATCACAGTAGCTTGAAGGAAGTTCAAACTCTCCCCTTGTACTATCAGCCTTACGTTTCCAAAGCACGTTAAGGTTTTCAATGGTGAAACTATCATTCTCCTTTATCGCTTCCGTCGCCGCCTCCATTGCAAGAACTGGTTTCCAAGCCTCTATGTACTCTTCGATGCTTTCATACCGTCCCCTTGATGCTTGGTGTCGAGCTGTGTGCGAAAATGACTCCCTTGGATGCTTACGGTGTTCAATACAGATATTGAGGTAAGAATCTACCTTAAATAACTGGACATCAGGTTGGATGATTCCTCGTATCATGTGAGGACAGAGCTGCACAGACAGGAAATCGTATTTTCTGAGTGTGACTTTCTTCTCGTAAAAATGGTCTACTGTCCCCTCAGATGACGGCTGTGCCCCTTCATTGTGATGAGGATGCTTGTAATGGATTCCATGTACCTGGCCAGATGACTTTCTTTGAGCTGAGGTGTCCTTTCCACGATTGGAAGGCATGCCGCCTAGCTTTTCTTTTACTTCCTTGATTGTACCTATTAGCTTCTCCTCATCGTTAGCTCGAACCATATCTAACAGAGACACCCAAATATCAGAAGGAATTTCAATCGCTTCGCCAATGCCTCCGTATTTAGAAATGGATAAATCTGTGGTGTCTCTCTTGAAATCTGGCGCCACATACTTTCTGATTTTCCACTTGAGAACTATCGATTGCTCTTCACCTTTAGCTTCTTTTTTTTCCTCCACGGTCAGTAAATTAAGGTGACTGAGGGCTATTCTTTTGTCCTTGCTTGCCAAGAGATCATCTTCTTTGTGTAAGATTTGGAGACACATTGACTGATGCTGAATAGCTTCAATGAAAACTTGTGTTTCACGACACCGTTGTTGAAGCTGAGTCGCCATGTGGATCCTCCTGCAATACTTTTCAAATTTCCGTGCGTTGTCTTGCATGTATGTATAACGTCGACACACCTTTATGATATCATCTTTATTGGGGAGATTAACTTCGTAGCTGCTGGAAGGCGTCAATACGAGACCAATTAGTAGCCGATGCACCACGATATCAATATACCGCCTTATTGGCGACGTAAATTGTGTGTATCGAGGTATTCCGAGAGAGTAGTGGTAAATATTCTCGGGTGGTTGCTCTCCTTCACAGACACATCGAGATTCAGCCTGCATACGTCGAAACTGTGAAACAGCTGTGGCAATTTGTGGATGGTGGCTCTCGTTGCAAATCAGGTATTGAAGTGTGGGCAAGTCGTTTGACTCGACTGCTTGACATATTGCACACCAAACTTGCCTCTGGATTTTGAACTTGATGCTTTCATCATGAAAAGCTTCTAATAGTGTAGCGTTTGTTGTATCATTCTTTAACGTTGCAGATAGCGTAAGTGACATTCTCGTATACTTGCCGTACATTTGAATCCATTCGGCTAGTCTGTGATCTTTTGGTGGCAGTTGTATCTTCAGAAGTGTTAATTCAGAGTTCCTTCGTGACAACATTTTGGCCATTTCTTCATTTGCAAGAACCATCCATTCTTCTACTAGCTCATGGGCCTCAAAGTCATTTCCCTCGTTTTGCCAGTGATCATATGCTCGATCTCGGAGGCGATGAAATCTTCTCTTTTGGGCCAAGGAACTTAGCTGCCTGACCTTCCCCTTTATGTCCTCTGAAATTCCTGATGTGCCCGTATCTTTTTCGTCAATGATTATCTGTGCCTCAGTATAACTCAACCGACAACAGGATCGAACAACTGTGCGTTTTATCTGTGGCTCGCCGACTAGTTTTCCTTCTTCGTTTATGGTCACGAATACCGATACTGCTAGACGGTCCTCATTGGGGAGAAGGCTGCAAAAATTCTCACTAAGTTGGCGCGGAAGCATAGGAACATTATCATGTCCGTTGGCGGGGTAGTATGAGGTGCAACGTGAGAACGCTTCATCATCTAATGGAGTGTTTGGTCTAACAAAGAAACTGACATCGGAAATATGTATCCCTAAGAAGAACGTTGAGGGTGACACATTCTCTATCGTCAAGGCATCGTCAAGGTCCAGGGATGTGGGAGGATCAATGGTGATTGCATCAAAAACCTGGGTGCGATCATTGCGTTCTACTTCAGGAATATACCATCCTGGAGGAAAGTTGTCATCTACATACTTTAAAGTCTGTTCTTTAAATTCTCGTCTTACTCCGTGCTCAGCGTACGCAATCTCCATGCTACTTTTCAAGTCGTGTCCTTTCGATAGTGGTCGCACAACGATACCAAGAGGGTTGCAGAAGTCTCTTCTCCACTGAAGGTATTTTACAACAAAGAGGTACTTCCCACTGAGGACTTTCTCGCTTTTAAACATTCTTACTTTGATAGCTCTTCCGTTGTGATCCTTTTTGTACATTGGAATATCCCTACAAGTCTTGTCTGTAAGATTGACCAGTTTAGTGGCTGCTTTGTTGATGGGTACCATCACCCAAGGATGTGCGTAATCTGTTGTACATACATACTGACGTTCGTGTGGACTTATTATGTGTTCAAGTACACCTGAATAAGAAGGGAAATTCAGACAAGTTTCTAAGTTTAAAAGTTTAAAACTGGTTAAAAATAACTAGATTTCTTTTAGCTACTGTCGAACAATGCTTTTGTTGACTCGGAAAATCTCGAGTCTTTTCACAGAGATGTATGACGTGTTTTCTCAATAAATCGGATTTTAATGTTTTTATGAAGATTGTGGAGGTTAACGCATTAAAAGAAATTCATTGGAGGGAGATAAGTACACCTTCTTACCAACAACTCTTCCTTGGACTGCTGGCTCATTTTCATCGGCCTTTGAACGGGTTTTTCTCTCAGCTAGTTCTATAACAACTTTGTCTCTATCGAATGCTTGACGGAGCTTTCCTTTGATATAAATAGATGGTGTTTTGGTATCTTCTACTTCTGCATAGCCCACATGCGACTTTTCGGGACTAAGACGAAGATTGCAGACAATGTATTTCTCGGGTTCATCTGCAATCAGCTGCATTAAGACAGAGGGATCAAGAAAATCCTGTTGCTCTGAGGAAATCATGATTCGTTTAGCTCTTTCGGAAGGGGAACTGTAAAAGCCAAGGTTGGTTAGACGCACTTCAATACGGCCATTTATGACTCGTACCTCTGGGAACAGGTCTTTTATGTCGGCACCGCCATTGAATACAGGGCGTTGCATGTGCTCGATTGGTTGCTGTTTCAAGTCTTTCACCGCTTGAAGGGAAGGGAATTCGGAGTCCTCAAAAATCGATTTGCGTTCTGCGTCCATTTTTAGTGTTTCTTCGCATTTTTGGACAAAAGCCTGAATTATTTCGTCCATTTCTTGAGGGAATACCGTCTCGTCCTCAAGAAGGCAATCTTGAAAGTCGTTTGAATCTGCATTGTCCTCGTCGTCCCCTTCATCCTTATTCCTTTCCTGATCCTCGAGGTTAAGAATCGGTCGATCTCTGCTGTCCAAGTCATCAGCTTTGTGCGATTCTCCACTAAGGATTTACTGGGCACTTGCCTTTCGAGTCTTGCTCTCTGCTTCGAGGACGTTCTCTACATTTTGCTCCTCTATTACCTCTTTTACATGTATCTCCTCTTGGACACTTTCAACTATCTTGTCTTCAGGTGATTTTGCGTCTAAGCCACTCTCGATCTTTGGAAGGAAACCTGGAATGAACGTTTTAGCTTCAGGATTGAGCTGGACACTAGCAATAGAAGCACTTATTTCTCTTGTTAGCTCCTCCATTGTTGTTCCATATAGGCCACCTGCCTTATTACATCTCTTGATGTAGTCTCTCCAGATTCCTCGACATTCTCCCACTGTGCACAGCGAGACAGGATCGCCAACTACTGCTATCATGCATCTCGCTCTCGTCACGGCTGTGTTTAGTAATTTTGGATCGGACAAAAATTCCCAATAAAGTTGTCGATCTGATCCACTGTTACGCAATTCTTCTTGCTGAGGCTTGCAAGTATGAAATGTGCGCACAGTACTGATGAAAAGCACCCGGAATTCTTCCCCTGAAAAGCGAAAGCAGTTTAATAAAAGAGGAGTAGGAAGCAGAAGATAAAAGTAGGTAAGTCTATCTATTTTTCATTTTCATTAGATGATTTAAAAATACGGAAGACAATACCTTGCACATTATGGATTGTATCCACCTTTACATCACTCAGATCTTTTTCCTTACGTAAGCTTCTTCGTATGGCTTTCACCTAAGAATAAATTATTCATCGTTTTCAAAAGAAGAATCTAAATCAAGAAGTTTCTTTGCAAGAATGAAGAATAGTTTCTATATCATTTCAATAATGTTTTTTTTTTCATTCTGGTATGACAACTGGGGCCTATCCGTACTAGCGACAAAATTGTTTCTTTAGACAAATTTTCTTTTATCACCAGCACTTTACAAGTGTGGGTGGTTTGTCGCGACTTGACAAATTTTGGCCGAAGCGAACAAATTTTCAAACGCACCGCCGACAAAATTTGTCCCGTGTAAAACCTTGGCAAAATCGACTAAATAAACAAAACCGAAATAAACTTGTCGATCATTCGTCGTAAACGCCACCACCGGTGTGGTAATTGAACTGAGTCTAGTCTACCAAAAGATTGCAGTAATTGTCTTTCGTTGCGAAACTCGCGGACTTTACAACTTCAAACAACTAAAGATGAATCCTGGTAATTAGAGTTTGAATCCATATGCAAATTTTGAGCAGGTCAGGCGCTGGAGACAGCCAGGGCAAGATACAGCGGTGGAGTGATTTTCCAGTCGCCACTTTAACAGTCCAACAATGAAGCGGTAGGTGTGGCAAAAGATTCAGAAGTGCCCACTCAAAGCAAAGGGAAAGGAAAAGCTAAATCGAATAAGATTACAGTGAAGTATAGTATCGTTGTTATTTTTGGCTGTTAACTGAATTTGAAAGATTTAACAGCTTCGACATTTTTCAATGCAGATATAAAAGAGGAGACAAAAGTTTGTCAAGACAAAATTTGTCCTTTGATTTTGTCGGGTCAATTCTAGTTTTGTCTACTAGTTAGGATAGGCCCTTAGGCAGGAAAGGGGAAATTAGCATCGCTGTGAGAACAGCGGCAAAAGTAAGGAGAGGCTCTATTTAAAAAATCGACAGTGGTTTAGCATAACAGGACGGAAAATGCGCGCACTGTAAGTACCCTCCCAATGTCCCATTTAAAGCCTTAGAAAAGTTTTCTAAGGCTTTGTATGGGACAACGGAAGGGTACTTACAGTGTACGCATTTTGCGTCTTGTCATGTGATCTGTGTTCTTATCAACAACGATATTTGTCATCACAGCGGACCAAAATGTTTAGCACCCACCAGACGCAGTGCAGTCGCTTCGTTTTTAACACAATATTGACGTAAACAGAACGATTCTTTCAGAGCATGCATCGCCAGAAATCGAGGACATTTTGCTCCCGCATTCATTGGTCAGCGGATTGGAGTCGAAAGAAAATAAAGATAGTGGTTAGGAAAAGTTCCATATTAAATATTGAGCGATTTAAGTTCTCTGGACCTTCTTTGTGGAGAAAAAAGCAAAACAAAAAAACAGCTTTGAACATATCTCTTGGTATTTTTAAGGCAGAGCGACTTATAGGAATTTGCTCTCTGATGTAATGCAAGCGTCAATCTGTATAAAGCTTCAATGTCCATTCAAACTGGCTTTATTTGTAATCGTCTACGGATGTCGGACATTTCGGAAATTGTAGCTTAAACCACTTGCATTAAATAATGGGAAGATCTAGGCAAATCTAACCTGAAAAAGGCTTTTTCTTCCAGTTGAAAACACAGTTTAACGAACGTACTATACAGATCTCTTTCATCTGCTTCCTAATTTTCGCGCGAGAAAATAAATTTGTTCAAGGCTCTACTTTAGTATGAGAGGGTCTGGATTGAGTTTATTTCCCGTCAAACATTGCTGAATAAGAAAAACAAATATGGCGACAGTTTAAAGGTTTCGCAGAGGGTTTTTCTTTTAACGCTTTCCCTTCTGGTGCGTTCTCAAGGATAGTCTCAGATCACAGACTCCACAGAGCAAAAATAGCAATTCTCAAGCTCTTTTGAAAGTATCTTATTGTCAAGAAATGTTTCTTTTTATGGACGATTTGCTTACTTCGAACTTCCCTTTATTTAATGCGAGTCGGAGCTAGTTGACTTCTTGGAGGGTTGCTCCTCAAATCGACAATCCTTTGCCTTGGATTACGCTATATTTGAAACAGACTAAAGGAATGACTAGCCTCGAATATCGAACATTGCTGACATTGCTGGAAGTAAGTAGACAAACAGCTTTTGAATTATTTTTATGCTAGAAGTACAGCTTAATCTCTACTGAACTTGTTTCGAGTCGGAGCTAGGGAATACTCTGACTCGTATTTGTTGTATTTTGGATTTTTGTGGAAATCCCATACATTTCCTTACACAATTTCGCCGCCATTAACTCCTCAATACGCACGCGCGTCCGGCATTTTGACCCAAATTTCTGGCAATGGACACATTCCGTGACGAGTTGAGGCAAGCAGCGTTGTCTATACCGGCTTTTATGGACAACGGCAAATTTTCCAATCAGATTGCGACATTACTGCCAGTTGTGGTAAATGAAGGTTTTAAAACCGATCTGAAAGATAGCTCAACGCTCGACGTCTTGATCTTAGATTAACGTGTTAGGTATTTTTTTCACGGACTGAACCTGGCAAGGCCTCTCTCTTTTGCCTTCCACATTTCGATTCAATTGCCTACTTCAAAGGAATATTTTTAATGAAAAAGAGAAATCGTCTACATGCTGATAATCTTGTGACTTCTTATCGTAATTAATGACTTTTTTGATAAGTACAATTACAAACCTGGTAACGATAAGACGACAAAACAGCGATATCAGTCAGTTTCTTGGAGCCCCAAACAGCAGGCCAACTGTCGGCAATCTCTTTCACTCTCTTCTCTACTTCATAAACTTCAGATAAGTTGAGATATGAATTGTCCTGCTCTTTTGTTTCCTTACCGCGTGCGGAGAAGAATAATAGGGGGCCGTATTTTGGGTGCGCCGGTTGGAACTCATGTCCGCGAGCAATCAGCTTTTTACCATAGAAATTTTCAGAAGGAAACTTGAGAATATGCTCATTGCATCGGTAGTTTTCCGTCAGCCACAAAACATTGGGTTCTCCATCTTCATCTTGTTTAGGTTTACTCTTGGAGACCTCAGCCTCATATTTTTCATAGAGGTCAAACAGCCTTTCAGCTAGTGACTTTTGAAGTCCCAAACTTAGTGCTTGGGGCGAATAGACTTCTGGGCTCATCTATCATGAGATGAAAAGTAAAAATGTTTCACTCCTTTAAGTAACGAAGAAATCACCTGAACTGTTATTCTCTCTGAAAAAGTTTTCGGTAAGTCCACTACTTGTTTATTTACTAAGTTCAATCTATATAAGCGAGAATGATAATGATAATGAAAATAACTATGATGAAAATAACAATTGTAATAGTAATAATACTACAAATGAAAATAATAGACAAAAACCTCCAAGACGTAGCTGCTAAACAAACATCAATATAAAACTTTGGAGCCCTGGCCCCTGAATCCAAATCCGTACCTGCATATGATCTCCCGTAAAGACAATTTTCGTGTTTGTTCCAGCAAACTTCAGTGGGTTTAAGGCCTCGGGTTCTAGCGCTTGAGCAGCTTCATCAATGAGGATATGAGTGAAGAATCCGTGCAATACTTCAAGACCAAGAAGCACGTGTGACGTGTTCAGTGTTGTAATCACTACGCGATGCTCAACGACGTCATCCCGACAGGGCAAAACGAACATACCGTCCTTGATCAAACAGTACTTTCTAGCTACCTCAGATGTTGTTTCGTGTCTGAAATAGGATAAAATGAAAATTGATCAATACTTACCCACAAATCAGCAATACGGGTCCATGCAATCAAAGGAGTTATGCAGCGTTCATAGTCACTTATCGTTTTTTATCAGATGTGCACAGTTCAGCCCTCTATCTAATAAGGCCCCAGACATACCTAGCCGCTTATGAGAAGTTAAGTACGTAAATGAGAACTGATCTGATTCTTTTAACTTTATGCATTTACCTTCTCATTGACTGATAAACCCTTAGAGGCCTTGCTGAAGGAATTCCATTCTTCTCAGTGAGATACTCATGTAACAATTCCACGTGAATGTCTGCTGCCCGATTTGAAAGAGTGCATAACAGAATTCTGTTCGACTTGTCCAGTTGCACCAAAAGACGAACAGCTTGGTTAAGGGTAAATGTCTTTCCTGTCCCAAATGGACCGAACACGACCAGGGGAAGAGCATTATCCTCAAGGGAAGCGATCCTTTCGATGACTTTCTTTTGATTTGAATTCAACCCCTTGTCCAGAAGCCATTGCCAACGGATTTTTTCCTGCAATTCCAACATTCCCATGTGTTTAAGTTACATAAAGTTAGAAAACGACCTAAGACTTTCGATGCATATCTACAACTTAGAATTGCTTACTTTACTTATGACAGTTCCAACAGTTGGATCCGGGAATATGAGGCGTAACTGTCCTGAGGTAAGTCTTTCAACAGCTTCGTGCAACTGACAAAGTGGCCAACGATTCAGCTGGAATTGAGCATTAACAGCAGTATCACAAGTGTCATGCAGCTTTAGGTCGGAGCACAATTTGGACGAGAGTCTTAAAACAACGCATTCACTCTCCACCTTTTCCACTGGAGCCTCGAAAACCGTTTGAGATCCACTATTCGCCAGTTGGAGCCAGACAGAATTGACTTTGCGATAAAGGAGACGACCAGCGGCGTCATCTGGTCTAAGAGCGTCTTCTTCTTGCAGACGAAGGACACCAAATAATTCACCGTCCACAGCACACCTCATTCCAGTCATATCGTCGAAGATATTCCACTGCGCATGTAGTTGGGCATTTTTTAAGGTGTAACTACACAAAATGAAACAACCAGGTAAAAAACTCACCACTAAACAAAAACGGAATCCTAAAAATTAAAGGAAACTCACTATTCATCAATATTAAGGCGATATGAAATAATTTTTTCGTACGCGAAATCTAATTCAATTTACCAAACAAGCCGCTTTTAGCTTCCTTTTGACCCTTTGTAAGCGCTTTTATGATGATAAAATCTACATGTGCTTTCTTTCCTTCGTAATGGAATATACAAGAGCCCTTTTTTTCGTTTTTGGAAAGTTCACTCATTATGGATTAGCATATTTCAAACGCCTTATATGTACTTACTGACTGAGTGGGAGAGCCGGACGGGAAAACATTTGGTAGCAAGGTCCGTGCGTCATAAACGAGAGCCAACTGTTTTCCTGTCCAGCTCGACCGAACTCAGTCATAGGACTAATAAGTTTTGAAAATCTCGAAAATCTTCTTTAACCTGAAAAGGAAACGATAGACTGGGGCGCACGGGAAAGTCCTTAGAAAGGAAAAAATAACAATTTATCCTTTGTTTTTCCAAGTCAGTGCAAGAAACTCACAACGCATCGAAAAACGTGACTTATTTTGTCATTTGTGTTCACAGCTGTCACTTAATTTTTTGCTACAACAGCGAGCAGTAATTTGCAACAAAACCTTATAAGTGCAGGACAGCTTTTTCCACACCAGCTCACGTCAACCCTTCTGGTCCTACACACTTCGGCTGTCACTATGGTTTTCTAAAGAATTGCATGAGTAGGGCCGGACGGGTCATACGATGATCCTGATTGTGTACCTACTGTAGCGATACCCCACAGGAGCAAAGTAACTATTAGAAAAGCATACCTAGCTATTGATTATTGAGTTTGAAGTTTATCTAAAACCTTCGTTATAAACATACCGTGATATTTCTTCTTTCATAAACCTTTCCTCCACAAATAGTAGTTGATGCACCATTTTTTTGTAGGTCCTAGGGCTAAGTACATCTTCAGTAATTTCTACTTGTCTAGGAAGACTGTACTTCCTTGACAAGTGTTCTGCCTGAAGAGCCTCTCCTGTCTCGTGGACGAATCTGACCACTTCCACTGACATTTCGTCCCATATTGCAGACTCATGCGTGGCGGAATTAACTGGTGCGATGGGAAGCGTCCCTGACCCACTCGAAACATCAGCATTAAGCCTTTTCACAAGGTAGGGCTTCCTCCCGAAGTCGAATAAAACCAACTGTTCAAAGCTTCCATACAGAGGAGACTCGAACGAGACTGTAAGAGCCAGCTTTACACGCCCAACCATTCTTGGGGTATTTGGAGACTTGTACCAAGAGTCTTTCAGCTTGGCTGTGTAACAAGACTTGTAACTTTCAGAGCCATGTTTTTCTTCAAAGCACCCAACGCGAATTTCTGTTAGGTGAAAACAGCTGTGGTATCGGTGGAGGAGTAAGATATTCTTTAACGATCCTACCTCATCTTGCTGAAAAAAGTGATAAAACACAATGTATTAAGTTAAAAGAATTTCATGTCACGCCATTTGAACTCCGCATTGCCCCACCCGCATCTTTCCACCAGAATTCTGAATATTTCAGACAATTCTAAGTTTTGGTGGCAATTTAGCAACCAAGAATGTTCAGTCGTCACCTTTTTTCTATATTCTAGCTCTCAAATATATCTTAGCCCGCACATAAATTGCTGCTGAGTCGATTTTAAAATCAGATTGTTGCTTCAAAAATATATGTAAGGAATCATTTGTCATTGTCACCATAATTATTATATTCATTATCATTATCATAATCATTTGGCATTTCAAAAGTTATAGTAGACATTTTTATGTATGATGTCATCGTTTTCTGTAATTTCAATAAATATACCTAAGCATCAGTGTCTTCATTGTTATAAACTTACCTGGAAGGTAAGAGTAAATGTCCACTTAAACTGCTCGTTATTTCGGAGTGTTGCATTGAGCTCAGGGGGAGCGCATATAACCTCAACTCCAGCTAGACATTCCACACGCTGTTAGCGTCAGAAAAAAAAATTATAACAAATAGAATCCAAAGCAAAACTCTAAAGGAATCTTTGCCTCTCCGAAAGCCATAGACATTATCGATAAACGTACAGAGTTTATTGGATCGGTGTGATCCATTTTGTGTTTATACCCTCTCTTTACTAAACAAGTCCTGACTCATAGGTAATAATCATTTTCAAACTTGTATTGAAATAATTTCAAACGCGTTTTTAAAATCATGTCGATATACGTTTGCGAGATTTTCTAATCCACGATTTCATCGATGGATTGGGTTTTTCAGAAAAAAATATTCAGCTGGATTAATAGAAGTTTCGCTAGAATTAGACTCTATTCACTCTTAACATCTTCTCCAAAATTGACATCGAAATAACGTGGTTAGGCTTAAATTTCGTTTGTCTCTATGTTTATTTGTTTCTTTCTTATAAATTTCTCCAGATATGAGATCCGAGCTGCGAGTGTATACGATAGCTGAAAAAGGAGATTGAGTAACAAAGAAATCTCGTCAGTAAAATCATCATGAAGTAAGTTACTTACATCTTCTGGTGGTGCCTTTAAAATTTCTGCATAAAACATTTCCTCCTCTTCTTTGATTTTTATCTCAAGGTTCTTAGTCGCTCTTCTGTCGTACTCTTGTTTCCATTCGTTCAGTTCCTGCTGGCTGTGAGCATAGAGGCACCCTCTGCCGAATCTGCACCGTTCACTTGTATAGTAGCTGTTATTGAGGTAAGACGAAATTGCAGTAAAGGATATTATTACATCGCTCGCAGCGCCCGCGGGCAAGATGAAGCGAATCCCGTTTTCTGATTGGCTACCCGAGTGGGCAAGATTGGCCTATCTTGCCCGCTCGGGATTACCTGCATTGATCCCGCGCATGAAAAAATTGAATTAGAACTAAGTTCGTAATTCTTGGACAATTTCGGCGATGGAAACACAGATAGTCAAAAAAGGAAAAAGGAAACAGAAACGACTCTCGTGAACTTTTTGTGCCACAAATTCAGTTGGCTTTCTTTCCCGGCTCTTGAAGTAAGTCACTCGTAATTCTTAATGAAGTGAAATCCTTTTTTACTATAATAAATCCTTTATTATATTCGTCTCGGTCTATAAAAATGCAAAAAAAAGAACTCGGCCAACATCCAGCCATCTTGACCTCACGCTTGGTTAATAACACATATATCTTTTTGAGAAACGCTAATGTTTCTGAGAAACCTCGTATGACTCCTTGATATAAGCTGATAAAATGAGGATAGATGACTTTTCTGAGCCTGTCAATGCATGTGCATAACATCCATCTGCTACACTTCTAAAAATACCATTGCTAAGTAACCAAGAATCTATCCCAATATCAACTCCAGATGCGCAACGTTCATTTTCAGTGTAACACAACGAGGTATTTTTGGGTATCAACTGAGCCTAGAGATTTACGATACATTGGTGTCATCAATTTCGATAACTCTTTGGCTGAGGTTTCAAAAAAACCATGTTACTATTGCAGAAGCGATATTTTAATCGTATCTACCAATCATATTACCTCTTGCACAATCTGTAGGAGCCATTTGTCACTCCTGGTGGGGGTGGTCTATATAGCAGCTGGACTGGAGGCTGCTTGGCTGCGGAATTTTCATCAGAGGCAGATAACATCCCACCATATGATCCGGTAAGAGTTTCCCGTGGGGTAGGAAGTACTAGTTCAAAGTTAGAAAGACAAATTGGAGTTTTCATATTCAACTCATTACTAATTAGAATCATTGGGAGTAAGCAATAGCTGTGTCAAAAAATTAGCAACGTGAAAGAAACGTCCAATCCAGTATAACACTCAGGAATTCATATGTATGTAGTTCCCTTAAATAAATATACAATTTGTGTTAGCAGTACAATAAGTTTGAGACGTGATGTATCGCGCTGATACCCCTCCAATAAACTTTATGCATGGTGCAATGAAGGATCCTTTCGATGAGCTGTGTAATAGAGACTAAGTGGGATAAACTTCTAAAGAAACTGATGCTGCGACGTTAGGGGGTTTTATGGGATTATTTAGTTTATCGACTGAGCTCTTAACTAAAAGAAAATTGGCAGCCGTAGAGAATTTCTAAAGCTTTTTAATAGAAACTCTCTAGGATGGCCAATTTACATTATAATAATGAAGGAATGATTATGATGAACTCAACAAGATAGATCCTTGCTGAATATTCAACAAAGAGCATATGTCTGGTACTTACCTCCTTCTCTTTCCATTGTCCACATGGTTTTCTCCTGCTCTCCGTGGGCAAATAAACATGTCTCCTCACGGCAGCGCTCGCGTTTAGAATACTGACGACATTCTTGGAATGCAACAGTAATTTTCACCGTTTTGGGAAACGGTCTTATCAATTCCCACCTTTTCCAAACGTCACTCCAAAAAGCGTACTTAAGCTTTGACCGGTTTTCGCAACCTTTACAAGCCTTGCTGTTGTCGAAAATACTTGCTGCCCGATTACTATTTTTCCAAAGGAAGTCGTCGCACACGACGTACACACCTTTAGGGACCTTTCTATAATCATTAGAAGACTTGGTTGAAGGGATGGCAGTCGTCTTTTGAATCGGTGTAGACGGTCTTCCTGGAGTCTTGAGGGCGCTTGACCAAGTGGGATATTGAGAATTCGCATGGCCTCCTTCACTGAGACTTTGAGCAGATACAGCTTCTTGATTAATCCCCTGGAAAGTAGAAATGGATGTTTGCGCCGAACGGTGGATTGGAGTTGAACTTCTTTCAGATTTCTCTGAAGATGGAGACTGGCCGTCATAAGGTAAGACTGATCCCTCAGGTTTCACCATTGGTATCATGTTAGTAGGTTTTACAGGGGGTGCAGCTTGTGCAATACGTTCTTCTGACGCTTCTGCTCCTGTTAAGGCCGCCTGTGCAATCCTAATATTAGACACAGGTAAAGGTTGAAGAGGCAGTTGTGGCTGTCCAGGTGCCAAGGGCATTGCGCAGGAAACGAGAGGAAATTTAGTGTTTATACTGTCTTCAATAGGACTTCTATAGGAATCGCTTCGTGGAGTAGCCGTTTGGGATGCAAAAATGGCACGTGTGGCCGAGAGAGGGCTGCTTTTAAGAGGCATGCCAAACTGAACTCCAGGGGAAGTGTTTAATGGCAGACTTGGACTCATGCTTTGAGATAGGACAGTACCGAATCCAAAAGATGGATTTGCAGTAGAATCTCTGCAAGAAGCTGTCATAAGATATCCTGATCTGTTGTTAATAGCCTGAGCTGGAATGGAATTCCTATTTTTTGCCTGTGTCATGAGCAGCGTGGGTGCTGTTGCGTTTGTGGATCGTAACTTACGAAGACTCTCTTCAGGAGTGGGAAGTCCTTAAAAATGTAGAAAATTATAAAATATTCAATAATTGGTGACCCAAGTCTTCAAAACACCTTTTAAAAATGTTCTTCATCCTCTAAATTGTTAATGTAGCAGAAACAGACAAGAATAAGTTACACTTACTGCCTTCTCGCTGCAATTCCCAGATATGCTTTTCTAGTTCCCCATGGGCAAAAGTGCATGGCTCTTTTCGACAGGAAATTCTAGTTGCAAAATGCCTACATATATCAAGTTCAGCTGTGGGTGGAATCATACCAGCAGGAAATTGCCGCATTACTTGCCATTGATCGTGGATGCCATTCCAGGCGGCGTACTTTAGCATGCCTAGATCTTCGCAGCTTTGACAGGTTTTGGCCTGCGTATTGTTGCAAGGGGGCCATCTTCTCAAAAAATGATCACAAACGACAAACACCTTTTCTGGAATTGGTGAAAGATTGTTCAAACCAGTTAACCTATCCGCAAGCGTATCGGTTGTTACTGTAGTTTTACCGCTTTGGAAAGTCTGGACGACTGAGGCTGGTGCTGGATTCCTTTGATTCTGTTCAGTGAAAGGAGAGTCAAGGAAAACAAAGGAACTACCTTGTTGGACAGGAGTCTTGTTTGGTGATGGATCAGGAAATGTTTCTCCAAGTGGCAAGTGAGGTGCTCTAGAATTTCTCCAGAGAGCACCATAAGAGCTCTCTGACACCTTGACAGGCCCTCTTTCCAAAGTTGGGAAGTCTTCAGAATTGAAAAGGTTTGGGGCTTCCGTCTTTGTCTGGCTTAAGTCGCTGACTTTGTCTTCAGAGGTAATAGCAAATGTCTTGTGATCTTGTGATGCCATAACTTTTTCAGACAATAACTCGGTCGGTCTAGCTTTTGCATCTGTGATCGGAATTTTTGCCATCTTTGCTGCACCGCCTTGTGGTAAGCGTTGCCTTTCAACGTTTGGCTGAATACTAACGCGATTGGATGACTGACAATTTTCTCCACTTGAAACAATGCAGTCAAGACTGGATACCCTGTCTTTGGACTGCGTTCGACTGTCTAATGAAATTTCATTTCCTCCCATTTGCGGTTGGCGGCGATTATACTGTACAAGTGTAAATTCTTCACCGTCAGACTCTTCGCGCCCATCAACCTCCGATACATTATGCCTAGATGTTAAGGTAGCTGTGTTGTTCATATGGAGATAGCCAAAGCTTATATCTGGATCTTCAATGACGGAATCCGTTGCTTGCGAATCTTCATCGTCAGGGCTTTCATCAGGAGATGAATTCGTCTCGTTGCTCACTGGTGGTAGATCTGATCACATAGAGAAAGTGTCAGTTCAGTTACACAGAATAAATGACACACTTCATTGAGGTCAGATTAGGTTGGACGAAACAAGAAAACAATTCCATCACCAACTCAAAAAATGATGGAAAGTAGGAGAGAAAATTAGGCAACGAAATTTATAAGAAAGGTGTGCTGTGAAAATGAACGTACTTGGAATTATTGGTTTTTAACGTGTAGCTTTGCTATCAGTACTATATGCCAGTAGACCTTATGGTAGAAATTAAATGAAGTCTATACATATTTACTCCCATGTAACATGATCTCGCGATAATGACAGGAATTATAATGTTATGCACTACATGCCCTCTTATATTTTTTTTGTAAATGTATTAACTCGATAACCTATCATAGTCGAATAAATACAGCAAAATATTACTCATAATGATAAAAAGGGATGTACTGTAAAAAGTTTTAGATCTCCTGACCTACAGTGTGACCTACAGAAAGTCTTTTTTTCTCTCAGAATATAAACTGCTATGACTTACCTGATGATTTCTCGCTTTTCTTCTGGGCCTTTTTCTTCGCTTTCATTTTCTTTTTCTTTTCCTTCTTTCGCTTCTTTTTCTTCAGTTTACTTCCTTTGGAATGGCAAACATGATCTGTAGAAAAACATTGGATGAAAAAGGAACATAATAACACGAAATGGATGAATACGTAATATAAATTGAAAATATACAGAGAAAAAGGAGAAAACCAAGAGAGAACGTATTAGAATGGTACCTTGTTCTTTGCTTTGAAAGCCTCCTACTTGTGCGGGATCCAGATCTACAAGTTCTTCTTTCGCTTCTGTATAAAGAGAAGGATACCCTCATATATAAAGTTCAAAATGGCCAAAATCATGACAATACTAATGATTAAAGAGGAAAAAATTTCTCACCACTTTTCAAAACAGGCAAAGAAGAGTCTTTTATCTCTTGCACACTCTGTTTCTGTAAGATAGATATGGCGCATAATGCTAGTTAACATGAAGGAAAACAATACAGCATGTTGCAGAAATATTGAAAATGAAGTCTCAGCAGTAATTGTAACCCACAAAGCTATTTTTTGAGAAAAACAAGGGTTTTAATTATAGGTGCATATAAATATGTGCAAGAAGGAATTAAGAGACAATGAGACTTAATTTCAATGAAAGCCATTTTTCTAAAGGTTCATGCATTCAATTTCCTTGAATAGTACGACCCTGTCAAACACATCTCAAATTGAGTAATTGATTTAGTGCAAAAATCAGTTTCTACTTTATCAGTTGTTTATTACAGCATTCAGTGGCGAATTTAGCCTTCAGCGGTACGCATCAAGAACAATAAAGAGAACTTATAGTTACCTCGCTCAGAAGAGGACCTTCGGTTGCTGGATGCTTTCTTTCTTCTGTAAGAGGCTCTGACTTGCCTATGTTTTGCTTCTTCTGGTTAAAATAAAGACGGAAATAATAATTTTCGACTTCTGTTCCCAAGCCGAAAAGTTCTCGTTGTCTCTTGAAACCAAGAATTTAGTCTGAGGAACATGTCTAATAGTTATGAAATAACTATTCTTAATGGAAGAAGAAACCGTAAAGTTACTCCTACCTGACAATTAACAATATTACTGGGAAGTATTTTCTCCTTGGTTTGAAGTGTATTTTGGTTTTTCGCGTTTTGGAAAACTAGGTGAGAAGCTTTTAGTTCTGAATTTGGTTATATCAACTAAGTTGAAATTGTAAATTGGCCACCGTAGCGAATACAAAAGCTGACGTTTCGAGCGTCAGAGCGAATGGGCTAACGCTGTGACGAAGTGCTAACGCTCGAAACGTCAGCTTTTTTATTCATTACGGTGGCCAATTTACAATTTCAACTTAGTTGATATAACCAAATTACCTTGTTACCCCCACCGACGCAGCATTACAGTTTCTTTAGAAACTTTCAGCCTTTATTTTTAGTTCTGAAGCCAGTAGAGGCAGGATGAAAACATAGTTGCTAATGATATATACCTTTTCCTTTGCTTCTTTCATTTCCGTTTGTCTCATTTGCTGCTTTATTTCGCTCATAAGACTTAGAGCTTCTACATCATTACGTCGTAGCCAAAGTACTAAAAAAAGAACAAAACAAAAAAAAAACCAAAGTAAGAGAACCCATCAGTTCAAAACATATTTAACGAACAATGTGCTTGGATTCCTCACGCAATAAGTATAAGTAATAACATGATATCGAATGCAATTTGGTGTTGTTAAGCGCGAGTAAATTTTTCAGAGATAACAAAATTGCAGAAGCACGTATGGCAAGTGCGATTTGTATTCTCTGAGAAATTTCCAAATACATATTACTACAAATTGCGAGTGGAATCATTTAATAACTTGTTACTAATTTACATGAAAAAATATCACAAATAGTCAAGACAGAAGAAATTTGAAAGCGTGCGCGCGCTACTTGTAATTTGTCCTCGTGTTACATGAGAATGCACTCGTTTTCAGCCAATACATGTTCATCAGTTAACTTGTCAAGTATACTTTTAAATCTCGCTTCTTAGGCAAAGCCGAAGCTCAAGGCCTCTTCAAACCTTAAGTCCTCTTCACGATCATTGTATACTCTTTATAATAACAACTTTGGCCTTAGTCATCGATAGACTCAGACAATTTATATGACTGAATTGGAAGTGATAGTTTATGGACAAATGTCCCGACCCAGATTATCGGAGATTATCTCGAACCTTGCGAAATCAAGTTCTCAAGACTTCTGTTTAATCCCCCTCATTCCTTACCCGGGATCGAATCGTTGTCAGTTGCAAGTTGGCTACCTACCGTTTGTTAACGTAACCCACTTAACGCTAGCCACTGCAACCAGCCATTAGACTGTGTCTAAAACAAAATTGCCTATTTTTTCTTGACTGTTGAAAGAGCTTGGGTCGTATGGCAAACGGCTTCATTACTGTTTTTTTCTTAATAACAGTACTGTTGTATCTTCAGAATTATTCAAACTTGTATTAATAACAATTATTTCAGAATAATAGCCTTTAAATGCTTAAGTAGCACAAAAGAGATTTGTAGGTAAAAATACCGTCTGCACAAACATCTTTCGCTTCTTTACATCGTCCCTGGAGGGAGGCATAACAATGGAGTAATCAGTTACCCTAATTTCAATATATCGACACTTTCCTTCCTAAACGCAGAAGACGAAGGCCGATTGAAGGAAAGGAAAAGTTTTAGCATGCTCAAAGTTAGCGTGTTTTAAGAAAACTTAGTCAGCTTGAGAAGAATTTAATGAAACTTTTCCCATATTTTTAAACTGAAATTGCAGTATAATGTCTTACCAATTGTAAAAGACACTTAGCCTTTCTTAATTGGACTCCGGGTAAAATCATGAAGTCTAACAAGTGCAGAAGCTCAGTATAACAATCCAGAGCCAGTTCACGGGTCTCTGGGTTAATAGTCATTTCGTTGGCAAGTTCAAGCGTCTTGTAGAGTACTACCTTGATCAAAAAATCATCCTAAAGGAAGGGAAGAAGAAAACATTAATAGTATTCATAAATGCACTTATAAACGTCAGATTATAATTCCGATGGTCTATCTTTATCAGCTTAATTAGGCCTCAGCTACATGAAGCAACTCCGTAGGGACGTTGCCTTAGAACTCCACAAACTCCACATATTGACCAGGCCAAGGGTCAGACAATCTCCTCTCGATCTGTGGCATAGCGCAGTAGATGTGACCATTCCGTTGTATGTCTCACGTGAAGAGTTTGGTTGTCAAGGTTTATGTTTTATATTAGATCTAAATTTTGAAGTCACTTATGCTTTGGCCACGTCTACGTTTCGGATTCATTTGATGTCAGAGTCTGTCGTTTCATAAGACAAAAATATAAGGAAATTAAATCTGTTAAATGTTCTCTCCACACAAGGAGTTTTGTTTGGATTTTAAGCCTTGTTTATGGTTTGACCTTTAATATTTCTGTGGTATATTTCTACTCTTTGTATTTGAAAAACACATTTTGTGGCTACTACTTTTTTGCGTTACATGTAGCAGTAGGTGCGATGACGGTCCCTGACGCTTGACGAGCCCAATTCCGCTGAGACAGGTGTTGAGGACAATGATTGGATTATGCTATTGATGCGTTATTAAAAAAATTAAATGTCTTAAGTTTGGAAAATAATGCGAAGGGTTAGCTGGGACATATTGCAACTTTGGTGTCAACCTGTCACCAACCTTTCGAAACTCTTCCTTAAGTTTCGTCTTGAGATCATTTATAACTGCTCTAGTTGTTTCACACTGCAAATGAAATACGAAGAACCTTATTATTTGTTCGAGAAAATTTCGTCTTAATACCTGTTTTTATTAGAAATATAACAGGAACTGTACTTCAGTCATCATTTGCATATCAAAAAGCATATCAAAACAAGGACACATCATGTACGCTGCTTTTGAAATTAGCTATTATCAGAGCAAGTTTTTCATTTTCACTCACATTGGGTCGTAAATGCCTGCACCATACCGCTATTGGAAAGGCTGCAACGTAGTCTTTAAGACTCATGATTGCTTTCACCTTGATGAAAAGTGATTTTGCCAAGTTTTTATTGTTGGTTCCATCGGCTATTTCGATAGCTAGCAAGGAAAAAGAAGGATCATACGAATAGCTTGGTTTCGAATCATAGTCACAATTCTATTATCCCAACCGCATTGTTGAGGGATGTGGATAACTGATTGTCTGAGTTACTGATACTTTTATTAGCCATCTAGGCATGGTGGGCAATTTCAATAACTTAATAATTAACCAACAGCATGCATTTGAAAAAGTCCTTTTTTTTTGCCAATGTTGCAAGTCATATGATTTTAAAATCATAAGCTACTACTAAAATCAAAGCTAGATGCTAAATTATCTTTGATGAAATATTTTATTCTTATTATGGCTTCGAAAAAAGGAGAAAGAGGAAAAGGAGAAAATAAAATTAAACTAAAATTTTTTTAAGTCCAGGTTTAAACATTTTATAGAGAATAAAAATCAGCATTTACCTCTTTCACTGTCATGGATGGCCTCTACGTATTTTCCCTGATCATGTAAGAAAACAAAAATAGTTGTATATGACTTTATGCCGCATCCTTGCAGAACCTAAGGAACTAAACTCACCATTTTAAAGAAACACACGGCTCGTTTGCGATACAGCTTTTCGGATATGATGGCTATATCCATGAAAGGAGGAGCTTGTTGGTTCAACGCTAAGGTATAACACACCAATGCTTCGTCATATAGCTTTGCACGAACGTTTTCATCGCCTTGCCTCTTGAGCTCTTCAACAACTGTATACTATGGATGTATATAAATGAAATAAATAAAAAAATACAAAAATTACTGGAACAAAATAGATTTCGAATAGATTAATTAATCAGGAAATCAATCGATTAAAGCTTCCTCCGTCATATATGTATGTTTCAAAGACATTTACACCTTCGAACAGGTAATGAGCGGTAGTGAGTTTTCGGTTTAAATTTAATTTTGATGTGGTAGTTACAATTGGTGAAATTCCATATTTAAGCGACATTTCAGAAATATTAAACGGGCATAAAATCCAAATGAAAATTTAAGTCGGGTTTAAGGAACTTAGACTTGACTTAAAAAGATACTTTTATTTAACCAGGTTTAAGTTCCAATTAAATGTGCATTAAAACCAATGAAAGATTTTGGTCAAGTTTAAGTGACCTTAAATATATAAAATATGCTCAAAGATTTTGGTCTAGTTTAAGCAGCCTTAAATCAACTAAGAGAATTAGGACCACTTTAAGTAACCCTAAATGCATCATTAACGAAAAATATTCCAACTTTATTTAAAATCACTAAAAATATTTACAAAAGTGTGATAAAAACCCTAAACCCACTGAAAGATTTAAGGTCTGCCTTAAGCGACTCATATTATTTCTTAAACCTTCTGCAAGATTTAAGTTTTAAGGGTGTCATCTTAGATGACACACCGATTTAGAGCAAGTTAAAAATGTTTTACGGACCGTTCACTAATTTTGGGTCAGAGGAGGAGGGGCAGAGAAAAATTAGGGGGGGCATGCGCAAAGTTTTATGACCCTTACTGCGCATGCGTCGCGTGACCACTCAATGTCTCCCACATGGATACCATCTACACACCCGTTTCATATATAATTGCGACCGACTATTTACTCTTTTAACAAGTAAATTAAACCTAACATAATTAAACCCTCGTGTACCTACGCCCATACGAATACTAGTTAAACCCTAAATCAAATCCTCGTACACCTACACGGTATGAATAAGTTAACCCTGACCCTTAAGACAATATAAGCAGAATTTAAGGCTGACGTAAACCGATGTATAAGTTGCTTAAACCTCAACTTAAACTTAGTAAACTTAAGACAGGATTAAGAAACAAACATTTCGGTTTACAATAGCTAAACAGTACTTACAGTCAAACCAATCCCCTTACAATAACATTAATGAATTGGTCATTTGAACCCGTTAGCCGTATCGTTTCGAAAAGACGCGTATCATTGTTCAAACTAGTAGTCCATTTCTGAAGTCTGATATTTGACGAGGATTCCTGAAAATGTAAAAACACTGCAAAAACAATCTTGCGATGGCTTCGCCCGTAAACAATTTTTTTCGACCACGAATACACACAAGAATTTCTACAGGTTCGTCAAGATGAAAATAGGCGAAAAAAGCTCTCGATAACATTCCATTTACAACATTTACGAGAAGTTCTACACAACACTCGAACTCCCCTTTCCCGCCATGTCTGACGCCATGTTGAAATAGTTCCGATCCATCATCACGTGTTCGCATAATCCAATCTGAAATAGACTTCTGATTTGAACAATGATCCGCGCCTTTTCAAACCGAATACGGCTGTTGGGTTCAATGTTCAAGTAATCAATCCATTATTCCATTCTTGAAACAGTTAACGGGTTCCATGTTCAAATATTCAAGTCGTTATTGCCCTCCAGAAACAATTAGCGGGTTCAATATTCAAATTATCAAATCATTAATGTAATCCTGAGGGGTACGCTTCACTTAGTTTAACTGTAAAAGCGTGTTTCAGAGGAGTTTAAGTTCAATTAAATGTAACGTAAACGAATACTTTTGTTCACAGGCATTTAATGTCAGCTTAAACCTACATTAAGGTTCAGTTTTAAGATAGTATAAGCTCGGTTTAAGGCAGACTTAAACCAGTGTATAAGTCGCTTAAACCTCAGCTTAAACTTAGTAAACTTAAATTTAAGACGGGATTAATCCACGTTTAAAACAACTTAAATAAGCTTTTTCGCCTGGTGTTATCATTATTATGATAACAGAGACCTAACCAAAGATCCCTAAAGTGATACTTTTCTGAAGTCTCCATTAAAAATTTGAATACAGCGTGAGTCAAAATGCCTTACCATGAAAGGACCTGGTATAAAGTCCTCCACATCCTCCCTATGATTAATAAAATTAACGATGAGAAACAAGAAGTCCATCAAGTTAATTATGTAACTTTTGTGTGTCGATAAGTAAGTTTGTCTGATTGTTTGTTATGATGCTAACCATTCTTCCTCGTTCATGTCAGAAAAATGTCTGCCTTCAGCCATCTTCTGGATGAAGTTCAAGTAGGAACTAAGAAAAAAAAAGGAGAAATGAGAGAGAACACCTAGTTTGTCGTGTTTTCTTTGTAATGAGGGACGATAGCCTAGGTCTATGAGGAATTAATAGGGACCTTAAACAGCCACGACGGAAACGGCAACGAGGACGTGGAAAAACAAGAGATCTAATTGGTAGAACAATAGCTCAGCACGTGCGTTTTGAAACTTTGTACATTTCTTAGCCGTCCTATGCAAAACAAAAACGTGAAATCTCCAAAACTTGCGTCGTCTGTGAACCGAAACCGCGACGGAAAATTCATTTAATTTCCATTTGGAACTCAACGCTTCTTCTATACGTCATGCTGAAGTTCAGCTGTGGCGCCGTATGAGACAG